TGATGAACTACAGGCCTCCATTTATCTTGGAAAATACATCTATGAGGAATGAAGCAATCTGGACAATAGTATAAGCAAAATGAGCACGAGAAGAACCATACATACCATGGAAAAGCATAAGTTCTACACTCAAAACGACACACACATGGCACGGGCAATGTTCGATCAAATGCCCGAGTGCCACAACATTGTCGCATGGACTGCTAGGCCTACGCTCTCACTGGGAATTTCTTCCACGCTTTAATTTGATCCTCTACCAGGAGATGGTCTTGGAAGGAATGGCTCCCGACTAGATCACATTCACTTCCGAAATCAGAAAAGTTCTTTGTCAGGATGTACCATCTAGTAGGACGAAACTGGCCTCAAGAATGCTAGAGCATAAGTTATAACATGTAGATACGTGGGGCTCCTCGCCAAATGATGAACCTATGCAGAGACTTGCCCGATCGTGGAGCACTAGTACACGCAAGGTGGATTGTTAACATTGAGGATGTCATTGTCGTGTGCTAAAGTGGCCTGAAGAACGCCACCGTGATTGGATTCCTTGTGATTCCATCACTCTTTTAGCTAATAGAGCTTCTAATTACAATCTTTTACAAGGAACCCACAGTACAAAGACTAAGCTCGGTTACTAAGCTCAATAATGAAGATTAGGCCATTGTTGGAATGTCCATTTTAGGGAGTTGTGCTCTTATTGGATAGCTCATTGTAACGCTTGAGCTAAATGCTTTTCAATTAAAACGTATAATAATATGCTTTGCCTCCTGTGGGAACATGCAGTCTATGTTAGGAGATCTCAGCAGGCATGGTGGATCAATGTTCCATCTGGAACGGATGAAATTTCTTGCTCAAGGTGCTCGTCTGCCCACATTCCACAGCAATATTCTGAAGCTGTACGTGAAGGAGATATTCGATGGGTTGTACAAAGAGATCAGGAAGATCCTGGTGCCGTTCATGTGGATGTTGTGCTGCCATTTGAATGGAAATTCCGGGGTTGGTAAATCTGCATTCGTCTGGTACTTCCGGTCATGATCTACGAGTCCAGAGCGACTGTTTTGATGTTCAAGGGTAACAAAGCTCAGGGTGGTGAATAGAGAAGACTTCCCTCAGGAGATTGTGCTGGACAGCAAAGTAGATACCATCTCATCGATCTGTGAGTGGACTTGGGGCGGATGGTTGGAAATAAAACCCTTGTTGCTGCTTCATCACCAGATGAGTTCAATGTCAGAAAAGCCAAGCGGACAACGTTCACTCGCTATCTGCCTGCGTGGGAAAAGCACGAGTACGATGCTCTTGTGTCTTCTTGGAGGAAACGCGTGACAGACTACGAGAGTGGATCGGAAGAAGCCAAAGAGATAACGCAGAGAGTGAATGCTGCTGAAATGGCGTTTGAATGGTTTGGAGGTATCCCCTGGTTTCTTTGGGATGTAGAAGCAAACGGTCTGACTGTGGAAGCTTTCGAAAGGGATTGAAGCACCTGAGTATGGTTCTGACTCCTGATTTTGTCCTTCAAGCGTTTTGAGCGTTGGTGGTCCAGGAAACTAAGGTGCGCATCTTCATGCTCTCAAACATGCTCCTGGTGGCGCTCAAGTTGAAACTTGCGTGAGAGCTATCCAGCAGACAATGGTCTTGCGCAGGATCTCGTGAACGGCCTTGTCAAAATGCCCATTCTCGCAAATGCGAGGATCCACGGTACTGGATTCTTCTCCGGGATTTGACCGAAGCTGTTCTTCGTGAGGGCAACGACGCCTTGGATGGTCCTAATGATGGAAGTCGTTGTAATTCTTAGGATACTACTTTATCCATCACGAATAGCATCAATACAGTAATCACTTCGAAGCTTTTAAAATAGGATCTACATATTTTGTCTTGGTAATGGGAGATTTCACTTCCTGAACATAGTCGCTTCTATATATCAGGTGAAGCAAGATCTAACGTCCACATCTTGATTGATTTCATTTGCTGTTAAATCCATCCATTTTTTGAATTTTTTTTGTGTGTGGCTATCCGGCACCAGGAATCGTCTAAAATCCATGGTGAGGCTCTTTGGGTATCGAGGTTTCTTCATTTGAATCCTTGGAATCTTTCGGTTTTCGGTTTTCGACATCCAAGCCGGCTCCCTTTCGTCCTTGGGCGGCTGGATGCCTTGGATGATCGCCGCATTTTGCCGCGTCTTGGCGTCCGGAAGGGATGTGTCAGGGAGCGAAGCAATTGCGTCAGAATAGATGCAGCTGAGCTCCTGGACCAGCTCGTCCCAAGTCCGGCACGACAGGCCAGTTGTGTAGTTGAGAGAGAGGGGATGGAAAACGTCGCCTTTGTCTGGGTGTAACCGGATGGAGAGCTCCGAGGGATTCAAGCCACCCAAACATCGAGAGATGGCAGCTTTCCGCTGCACAGACACCTCCACTAAAATCTAACGGTTTGGATGGTATATTCTAAGATATCCTTTAATCCAACGGCTGTGATGTATCGCTCTTAACCTTTTATTTGTTTGTAGTTACCACTAATATAAACTGCGTTTAAAAGTTCATTCTCATTCACTATTTCTAGCTTGTTGTCTAGCGTCTTTCTTGTTCAAATGGTGAGGAAGGCTTGCATATGCTGGCAGGGTCATCGAGAATTCAATGGCACAACATTGTGTGTGATTGATAGATTATGCTGAAGTGACAACTGATGAGAATTTGGTATATATGATCGAATTGGTAAGCTCAATGGCATGTTTGTGCTGTTTGTGTGCTACTGGAGCAAATCAAATATATATATCTTCCCTTCCACAAAATTTGATTGCATGAGTACAGTGGAGATGCACCTAAGTTAATACTTTTTAATGATCTGTTTGTTTAAGTCTGTAATAATGGATTCCATTGATTACAAGTTTGGTTTTGCTTCTTTACTATGATCTAGTACCAACTTAACAACACAGTTAATCTTAGGTGAGATTTTGAGGAGAGCCACTCTCACTAGTAGATTGTATAGTGTTAAAAAAAAGGAAAATAATAAAATGGTCCAGAAACTCAACACAGTTAATTTAATAATAAAATAATAAAATAGTGTTCATGTTAGGGGGCGACCCTAACACCGTATTATTCTTAATTGAAAGTCGAGGCGGATGGGAATCGAACCCAGCAACCCTTCACAATAGAACATTACAGCGTGCATGCTATAACCACAAAGCCATGAACACTGGGAGATAACAAAATATTATTTCAGCACCTCTTATTTGAAAAACAAGATTTGGAATCCATCTGATTGTCCACGTGGACGACATCCAGGGGCTGCGAGGCCAGAGGATCCACGCGCGGATCCTGGAGAGCAGCTACTGGCCGAATCAATACCGTCTTCATCCGGCATGAAATCAAAGATTTCTTCCTCTGCTATTCACTGCTGGAAGGGGAACCCATGGAACGTCCTGTCATTCTGGGCAGTAGATTCGTCCAGGACACGAGATCCTTGGCCGGCGTTTTTGCCCAAGCTCGATTTCGCTGCCACAATTTGCCCCTGCTGCGCGAGAGCCATTATCATCGAGTTCCATGGCGCTCTGAGACGCAATCAAACATAGACTCACACTCTCGGATGCGGGATGCCGCCACATACGCGGTGACCATCGCGTTCCAGGAGACGATAATCGAACAAGATTGACGCCGCATCGATCGAATGCCCTGTTCTTGCTGCTCGCATTTGCCAGCGAAAGGGAATATCGCGCGATCCAAGAGCCTGAACCCGGCGCGGCGGCGTGGATCATTCGGGGGGATCGGCACGAGAGAAGATTTAGCTCCAGCAACGCTGCCGAGAGCGACTTTGCGGAGAAGAGAAATCCCTCGTTCATACAAAAAATTTTGATTGGGTCTCTGGCTGTGGGTTCGAACCTGTGACCTTGCCAATATATTTTTTTATTCTAGCCAGATATCCGGCCATCAGGTTCCCGTCCAAAGTGTACACTAATTGCTTCTTAACGTATACCATAATGTAAACAGCGGCGCAAGAGATTTTCGTTTTGTGGGCGCATGGCGCGCAGCGCGTTGCTGCTGTCAAGCTCAAGAAAGAAACCATTCTCTTCTCGATGGAATGAAACTCTCACTTTCTCCATGCTCTGGCGAGGCCATGGCAAACAAAACGGGTTGGATGGACTCTGCATCTCAATCTGAGCAAGCAGCTGATGCAGAAGCTATTTTTGAGAAACAAAGTATAAGTATGCTGCAACAAGAACCAGCAACATCCGTTTAAGATATTGTTCTGGAAGATGGCTTGTCTGAGCTCGAGTTTGATTTGATCCCGGCACCATGGTCCCGGGAATCTATTCTTCACTTGGTTGTCCAAGCTGGAGGTCCATAGGTTTGGATCCTTTCAAATCCTCGGGGCGTGAGACTCTGGAGCTCCAAGTTTTGATGCCTTCTCTTGGCAATAATATAATATATTGCTCTGAAACCGTGAAAGCTTACTCACCCGCAAACAAAACTCCAGGGTTGCACCAGACATCCAATAAACCTGTGAGAGCCTTGACCAAGCTCAAACTCAATCAGCTCAGAGCAAGCTTTCTCAAAAGTTTCCAAAGAGCAGATGGCATAACACAAAAAACGTATACCAGGTCACCAACTCATCTCATCACAAGTTGCGTTGTGGTCACTCCACGCCTTGGATGTTGATGAACTACAGGCCTCCATTTTATCTTGGAAAATGCTCGAGGCCAAAGGGTGGCGAAGATGAGGAATGAAGCGATCTGGACTGGACAAGAGTATAAACAAAATGAGCACGAGAAGAACCATACATACCGCGGAAAAGCAGTGCTTGTGCTTGTGAGCCTAGTTTGAAGATGTCTGAGACTGAGAAGAAAGACCATGCTGCTCGACTCATAGAGCACGCCCGGAGCAGCACACCGCCCGGGTAAAGAGCCCCCTGGATCGAAAATGTGCAGCAGTAGCGTATAATGGCAATGGCGGTGGTTTTCCATGGCATCGTTCTTGAGCCTTGATGAGGAGGTGCCATCCAGCGAAGATTTGCAGGAAGGAGGAGCGATCTCCAGCGGTGGGCGCCTGGGCGAGAATGCGGTGAGCACAGATCTGGGAGGGGGAAGGCGCATCCACGAGGAAAATCGTCTCCAGCGGCCTCGAGGTTCCTTGCTAATCTGGTCATAGAAAGGTATGGAAAGTGCGGGCGCTGGAAATCTTCCAGAAGATGAAAGATCGAGGTTCTTTCTCGTGGAAGATTGCGATCGCGGCATTTGCCCTTGTTACTCTTTTTCGAGCATCCAGACAGCAGGGGTATGGCCTCCTCCAAAGGCCGTGGTTGATTTACCCTCCAGCAGTAGTCTTTCAACCAGGCCTGGAGCGGGCCTTCTGCCAACTTAAGTCGAGGTTCCTGGTGTTTCTCACCATGTGTTTCTCACCTGGATCTCCGCCACATCGCCATTGATAGCTGCAAGAATTCGATCGACGAGCATTTGCTGGGCAAATGGGTTCCAGAAGAAAACATTTCCATCTTCCATTTTGTGGAGGACACCCAAGGCATCCGCGGTGCGCCCGCACTTTCCATACATTTCCATGATGAAATTCGCGAGGAATCTATGACGATCAGAGCAGCGTCTCCTCCTCGTCGTCAAGAACAATGCGATGGAACCATTCGTTAACTACAGGTAAGCTTCGTCAAAATAGCAAATGTCGCAAGGACAGCGATAGCAGAGGTGACGCTGCCACCATTTGGATAACGATACGCTGCTCTGCACTTTTGCTCGCATTCCAACAAGGAAGTTCCTCACCCGAGAAGCGCTTGTCTGCTGCGCTTGGCTGGATGATCCGGTCTGGCTCAAACCAAGACAAGCCTTCAAACAATACCTCGCAAAGCAAGCATCACAAGCATTCTTGTGATTTAAAGCGGTATTTATATACTCTTGTCCAGATTGCTCAAGAACGCACAAGAGACTGTCTTGAGCTTCATTCCTCACCTTTGCCACCTTTCGATTTTCGTCAAGCGATGTGAAGAGGTGTGAAAACTCCTCTTCACTGGAAATCTGCTCGATCTCCAAGGGCAGAGAAGAAGCACGAGAAAACGAATGCTATGTATTGATAAGAAAAACGATGGAATAGAGATAGGTATCCACAATTCAGATTCCAGTTCTAATTGCTAGCATATACTATATGCTGTGCATGATTTAATCTATGGCTCCGATGCAGCCCTGGGTTCAAAGTCGGAGTCCCCTGAGCCTGGGTTTTTAGTTGATACACTCTGCTCCCCTGACAGAACTAGACACCGTCCTCGGTGCGAACATAGTCAGTTTCCATTGCTTGTTGTTGCTGCTGCTCAAGTCGATAGAGGCGATGTTTTTGCTGCGGGAGTGTAAGCTCGTGGTTAGGGACACTGTCTGGTGGATCTGTCCCATCTTCCTAGAGGTCGGCTACCTCAGCCAGCAGGGCGGTATGATTCCTCGAGCTTTCAGTAGCGAGTGTTGATCTCTTCGTATTTGAATTTGTAGGTGAATTCATGAGCTGTTGATGGGGTTGATGGCTGCTTGGAGACGATCTTCCTGATGTCCTAGAGGTCAGTGCAGATCTGCTTCATCTCTTCGAGCTGAGCATCCAACTGGTGGTTTAAAGGCTCATAGAATTCCTTCTTAATCGCTCCCTGGAGTCTTGCTTGAGAAGATGCTGTGCAATGTCGGCTCGTGTTGGGAAGTAGTTTGCTTGCTCGTGGTGCATGCGTTGATCGAGGGCTTCAAACAACTTGCGGGTGTAGTAGCTTGGGTCGCGAAGTTTATCTTCATACTCCTTCCTGATCTCGTCATAATCATGGCCTACCTGACTCTGTGGCTGAGGCATAGCTGCTGCTCCTACTCCTGCTCCGTGATACTGGTATTTCTCGCTGTGTTCTTGGTCCCGGGAGTTGAGTTTGCTTTGTTGGATATGGGTGACGTGGTCGGGCCAGATTCTTTGAGGTGGTTGGAGATGAGCTTTTCAGTTTGATGGTGGATGAACGGCCCAGATGTGGCGCTGAAATTAATTTATCCATTCGGAAATTTTTCGCTTGGAATTTTGTTGAAGGGGCGGAATTTTTGTGAATGCTGGTCGTGGTATTTGCTGGAGGAGGCATGGTTGTGTGTTCTTTAAGTGATTGGTGAAGGTAGTCAATGTTTTCTTTTGTGGAACGTGTCGAGGAGGTCGAGGCGTTGAGAATGTTGTTCTCAGCTGGTGGAGAAATTGAGTTCAGGGCGAGCAGCTGACATTTTCCTTTGGCGATGTTGATGTGTTTGTGAGAAATTGTTGGTTTTGGGGCTGATTCGAGTGGATGCGGGCTCTAGGGTGAGTGTGGATGGTGGTGTGAGTTATCTTCATTGTCGCTGATGATGAGGTGCTCTCAGATCAGCGGTGGCGGCGAAGTGGAGTTGAATTGTTGGAGTGTTTGTTGCTAGAGCTGGTGTTGTTGGAGTGAGTTGAGCCTGATTGTTGAGATGTTGGCTTCGGTTTCTTGCTGGGAGTTGCTCCTTCTGATTCTGACTGGTCTTCGGAGCTGTCACTTTGTTCTGTGGAGTTCATTTGGGTTGTCCACGGTTATTTGTTGGGAAGAGCTTGGTGTAGAGCAATCAGCAGTGGGAATATTACTGTCCGCATGGTCTTTTTGTTGAGTGTGGCGAGGATGGTGCGGTCGAGAAGCTTGAGAAGGAGCTCATGGAGATGATGAGCCACGTTCACACGTTTGCCGTCAAGTAGAGCTCTATAGACTTCTACTCTGCACTTGCCAATGGTGCGATCTATTGGGTGAAGTTCGTAGTAGAGGAGGAGGGCTTTGAGGCGATCCATATGCTGCTCCTCGATGTCCTCCCATGTGAGCTCACCGGTAATTTCTCGATTGGCCTTGATGATTTGCTGTGGAACTTCTCCTGAAAATTTGAACAGTCCCTTGTTGGAGATTTTGAAAACGGAGGCGATTCTTGGTGATTTCGTTGGTGCCGTCGGTTATGGTGCCGTTCTTGGGGTTGAAGGAGGCGGCCAGCTTCCTCGCTAGTTTTTGATCAAGGTGTGTTGAAAAGGCCTTGTGGAGGAGCTCGAATCCATGGCCCTTGAGCCAGGTGGTTGTGTCGTTGCTGGGAAGCCTAGGAATATGGTGTATGACGTATCTGAGGAGCTGGGGTGGATGAGCTGGCATCTTTCTCTTCATTTTCTATGGTCGAAGTGCTCACTCTGTTAGGGTTCTTGAAACCTGTAACTGTTGGTTGGCTGATTGTGTGGTGCTTGATTGTTGGTGATGAATGGTAGAGATTTGTTGACGGAATTGATGTGGTTTGATTTGGCTTGATTGCAGATCAATGGTGGATATTGCTGATGAAGTTAACTCAAGTTCAACTATTGATATTTGCTCAGGTGGCGTTGATCCAACAGTAGCTTGGGACTTAGAGATTTTTGCTGCTGTTTATTGCTGAAGTTGGTGGATGAGTTCGTGTTGAGTTGAGTTGAGTTGAGTTGTGTCGAACTGATTTGAGTTAAAGTTTGTCTGCTGGGGTGAGTGTCGATTGTTGGTTTTGGGGTGTTTGTCAGTTTGGGTCGGAAATTTGCTGAGGTGCTGATGCTGAATATGTCGACGTGATATGGTCGAAGCTTGTTGAGGTTGACGATCTCAATGAAGTCTTCAGCGAGTGTGCTGACTTTGGCGGTGCCGTTGGGGTATAGTTCAATGATTTTGAAAGGTCCTTGCCATTTGGTGTGGAGTTTTCGGCCAAGTTTGCCGATGGGTCCTCGGTATCAGACAACATGATCGTCGACGTTGTATTTGGGAATGTTATACCGGGATGCTTGTCAGTCATACCGAGGTTTTCTCTGTTTTTGGATGGCGTGAAGTGTCTAGAGGGCGTTGAGTCAGAGTTCGTCAAGATGTTCGAGTTGCTGAAGCCTTTCTCGAACTGCATGTTGCTGTTGCTTTTGCTGTGGCATGTCAGAGAGGTATTGCTTCGGCCCACTTGGTAGTGTAATCGGTGGTGATGATGATGTACTGATTTCCTTGACGGGTGCTGACTTGGGGTCCGACGAAGTCGAGTCCCCATTTCTGAAATGGTGCCATTGGGAATGTTGGGTTGAGTTGTTGAGTCTGAGTTTTTTGGCAGTAATCGGTGTCAATGACATGTGTCGCAGAATTTGTAGAATTCTTCAGTGTCATGCCAGAGTGTCGGCCACCAGAGGCCGGCTTGAAGAATCTTCCGAGTTGTGGTGTCAGTGGTGAAGTGTCCACCGGAAGGTCCATTGTGAGCTTCCTTGATGATTTGAGTTGTGCTTGGCGGCTTGATGCATCGGCGAAGAATGTTGTCAATTCCTAGTTTGTAGAGCGTGCCTCTGATGACTGAGTATCGTCGGGTTTTAGCAACAAAAGTCTTCTTTTGGTCGGACATAGTGTACTGATCTGGAACTTTTGCTGAGTTCAGGTAACTGAAGACGTCGTCAAGCCAGGTTGCTGGTATTGAAACTCGGAATAGGTTTGAGTCAGGTAAGTCATCAGTAAGTCTTTCGGGTTTGTCGCTGGTGGTGATCCAGCTGAGATAATCTGCTTGCTCGTGATTTTTGCTGGGTTTGTGGATGATCTCGAAGTTGTATTCTTGTAGTAAAAGGAACCATCTTAATATTCGACCAGATAGTATCGGCTTGTTGATGAGGTAAAGGAGTGCCTTGTGGTTGACAAAAAGGACAACTTTGGTTGACAGTATGTAGTGTCGGAACTTTTGAAGTGAGTAGATCATGCCGAGAGCTTCTTTCTTGGTGGTGGTGTAATTTCGTTCAGCTGGGTTGAGTAGTCAGCTGGCATAGTAGATTGGTTGATCTCGGTTGTCATGTTGAGTTTGGCTGAGAATTGCACTAGTGACAATGTCAGAAGTGTCGACATGAATGTGGAACTTTTGTGTCCAGTTGGGCTTGGAAAGGATTGATGCTGTTGTTAGTTTGAGTCAGAAATTGTCGAATGCTTGTTGCTATTCAAACGTCCATGTCCATTGGGCATCTTGCTTCAGTCCATTGGTGAGTGGTTTGGCAATGTGAGCGTACTTGTGGATGAATCATCGGTGATATCCGACTTTGCCAAGGAAGCGCTGAAGTTCTTTGTCGGGGTTGAGTGCAATGTCTTTGTTCTCCTCGCACTTGTTGAGGCATTTCTCCAGGCATTCAAGA